ATGTTGAATTGGATTTCCTTCTTGCCTCATGCATATGACACTCTGCTGGCCCTGGTATTTGCAGAGACGCACCCCCCCCCATAGTTTTATATATCATCTTTCTTTTTAATCCTAAAAATATGGACATGTGGTAATTGCTTGTGCTTATTGAATGAGAATTTGTGCATATATTTTCCTGGGATTTGATGGGGAAGGACACCCCAGCCAGAACGTAGATCAGACACTGAATATCACCTTGTCACCTTGTCATGGTCATGAGAGCTGTTATCCATTTGTATCCTAATATTACCAATAAGGTATTCCATTACCTTATACTCTGAGGGATTTTGGCTACTGTGACAAAGTACCATAAATCAGTGACATAAAATGGAAGCTTATTGTGTCTGTCCCAGGAGCTTACAGTTCAGAATCAAGGTTGTATCAGGGTTGGTCCCTCCTGTGGCTGTGAAGGAGGAAAATGTGCCCTGTGAAACTGTAGCTGGTAGAGGTTTTCTAGCAGTCTTTAGTGTTCTTCGGTGTATCGGCATGTCCTTTCTTCATATCCCAGTGGCCCTCCCTCTAGTTTGCACGTCTGTCTCTGAACTTCTTTCTGATGATCACCAGTCCTTACAGCCCACTCTAATGACATCATTGTCCTGCTTTAATATCTATTGCTGTGACAAACCACCCTGACGAAAGGCAGCTTAGGGGAGAAAGGGTTTTATTTGTCTCATGATTCCAGGTCACAGCCCATCACTGAGGAGATGACAAGGCAGCAGGGACTTGGAGGACCTAGTCACATCACATCACGTCACAGCCAGGAGCAAATAGAATCATACATGCTCGCTTGTGCTCAGCTCAATTGCTCTGGTCTTACATATTTCAGAACCTCTATCTGTGGCAGTGGTACTCAACCTATGGGTCAAGACCCGTTTGGGGGTTGAACAATTCTTTCACAGGGGTTACCTAAGAGCATCAGAAAACACGGATATTTATATTACAATTCATAACAGTAGCAAAATTACAGTTATAAAGTAGAAACAAAAGTAATTCTATGGTTGGGACTCACCACAACATGAGGAACTGTGTTAAAGGGTCTCAGCACTCGGAAGGTTAAGAACCACTGATCTAGGGAATGGTGCTACCCGTAGTGGGCTGGGTTGTCCCACACCAATTAACTTTAATTAAGACAATCCCGCACAGGCCTGGGTCAACCCAATGTAGACCATGGAGACTCTCCTCCCAGGTGAACCTAGGTTGTGTGAAGTTGACAAACATCACAACATTCTTAACTACATCACTTCTATCAGCATGCTTTCGCCCAGAAAAGCCAAATGCTAAGATGCTGGGTGTTAGGATTTCAGCACACAAATGGAGGAGGGGAACAATTCAGCCACAACGCTGACCTTTCTGTCCTTTAGGGCAGTTACACTAGCTTGGAATCCCAGCTTTTCAGACAGGTTGCTGGGTTACAAGGTCTCAAATCTCCTCCTTCGCCAGTTGCCTCCAAAATAACCCATCCCTCCTGCTCCTGGAACTTTCTCAGCACCACTGGATTAACGGCACCTGTTCTGGCTTTAGGTGGCCTAGTTTGTGGTCGTCAACACTGTGCTCTCAACTCTCTTCCCTCAAAGCATGCTCCTAAAGCTGAAGGCATTCTCCCTCCAAGCACATACAGTCTTTTTGACCAAGTCTTACAGGTTATTGTGTTCCCTGGTAGCTCACTCCTCTTGGGAACATTGGTATGTTTCCAAAACCTAGAGAGATGGCGAGGTGATGAGGATTCATCCTGCCTTGACCTTGAACTCCCCTGCTAGCACCAGTTCAGTTTTTCTTCTCTCTGTCAAGGCACGTTATAATTCTCACTTCGAAGTAAACCTGCACCTCAAACTGGCCCTGTTTTTGTCACATTTTTTTCCTCTGAGATTCTTCTTCTTGATATTTGAAGAACTTGGAATTACTGAAGTTTATTGTCCTGTTTTTCTGAGGAGCTGAGGGGCTCTTGTTCAGATGGGAGCTCTGCTGGACAGCCTCAATAGTCAGAATTTCCCACAGTTTATGTGTAAAGCAGTTGCTCACTATGCCTCGTATATGAAGATTATGTTCACATCATCAGCATCCCTACTGCTTTGGAGTCTGAGACTAGCCAAGCAAAGAACCAGGTGTTTCAGAAAGGTAAAGCAGACTTCTGGCTAGTTTGACATAGGGATAAATTGGACTAAGCAGCCAATAAACACTAGCTATCATTATTACTATTATTACATTAAATCCAGGTGGCCCTCTGTTGAAGGAACAGGGATAACTCCTTTGACCTTAGCTGTCTTTGTTCATGAACAAAGAATTTTCTTTTAGAATTTCTTTCTAAACTCAGACTCACATGTTCAGGTCAATGTCAGCATATGGAAAACTTACTGGTGCTTCTTCCAGAGGCTAGAACAGGTCTGCTGAGTCTCTTCATCATTTGGAAGATGAAGGTGTATCATTCAGTCATTGCATTTCTTGTTACCCTCTCTTCAGCCTTCAACTGTTCAACACAATACAACTAGCTCATCGGTTTCAACAAATACAGCTGAACATCTCATTATCTCTTAGAACCATGACTGGAAGGACAGAAGGCTCTTTCTCTGATGGAGGGCCATGTCTTGGGCAGCCTGGTTCTCAGGTAGAAACAAGGTTAAAGCTATAGCTGCATGGTAGAAAGCCTGTTGCCATGGTTTCTGAGACAGGATGTAATGGTTAATCGCTATTGTCAACATGACTGGATTTAGAATCACCACAGAAACACATCTTTGGGTGTGTCTACAAGGTTTAACTAAAGAGGAAATGTGGGGGTCCCTGTACGCACCGTAGCTGTCAGGAAAATAAGCCACAGAGAGACAAGAAAGAAAACTCACTTCAGCTTGACTTAGCCAGGCTGGATCAAACATCCAACACCAGGCAGTTTATTTTAGACATGTTAAGTATAGTGTAATTTTGGAAAAAAAATTCCTGATAACAACCATCACAATCCTTCCTACATGCACGACAAACCTTAATGCATGGCTGCATCTCAACTGTTTTTGCAAAGTACATGTGACCTCTACCATGGTATGAGATCTATAGCTTAGAGGCCTAGGACCTGCTGTGGTCATAGAGATCAGCAACCTATAAAGTACATGTGACATCTCCCCTAAGGATGGGATCTATTGACTGAGAAACAATTCTAGGGGATTTGGATGAGGTGTGGCTCTATGGAGAGCAAAGGTCACCAGGTCATTAGCAACATCCACTCACAGCCTTCTGGGTGAAAAACAAGCATTTGTTTCCTCCATTGAGGAGACAGCCCATGTAGTTAACATCCCTGGTTTCTCGAAGGAATGTTTGCTTATCTGTGAGCACCCACACCTTCTACAAGGGAAGATCTACCTTAAATGTGGGTGGCCCCATTTCATGGGTTTGTGTCTTGGACTGCTTACAAAGGAGAAGGCAAGCTAAGCAGCCACGTTTTTCTCCCTCGGGTTCCTGATTGTGGATGGAACATGACCAACCATATCACACTCTGCTGCCTTGACTTCCCCACCATGATGGATTACATCACCTAAGACCATGAGTCAAAACAAAGCTCCCCTTCCTGAGGATGCATCTGTTAGGCAGTTCTGTCACAGCAATGAGACAAGAAAGTGACCAATACGCAGGAGAGGACGCAAAAATGGGAAACAGAAGATTTCCCCTTCACGGGTCTTTGGGAGGACAAGAAGAGATAGATGGGGAGAAGCTAGCAATATGAAAAACTCAAAGCAAAGCTCTCGTTTTCCAAAAAAAGAAATCATTTATTTTCCACCATGCATAAAGGCCATATAATTCACCCAGAACATCATTGGACATACCGGTAGTTAGTGTTTTTGATGGGCTGATCTGGGTTCAGATGCTGGAGGCCGGTTACCCAGGAGCCTCCTGGGGCTTTGAGAGCCGAAAGAAGTCACACTCTCAGTTTGACTTTGTAGTGACAGCTTGGACTTGTCCTCCCTGCTGAAGAGGCTGGGTTTAGGGCCACAGGGTGTGGCACAAAGCACATGACTCTGTCAGTTTGTTCCCATTGAATCAACGGAGGTTTCATTTAGTTAAGAGCTGGGAATACTTTATTACTTTTTGTGACTCCTAGACACATTTTTTTTTTCTTAGAAGGGGAAGGAATACAAAGAAAGGATTTGGATGGAATGGTGACTGAAATGCTTGTTTGTATGCTTGAAGGAGGCTGGGGGCTGAGTTTGCCCAGTGCCGGGCTGCTTTTCCTAAAGCGCTTCCCAGGTCCTGTTTCAAGCATCTGACCTTTTGTCATTTCCTGAGTTTTGACTCAAAACCACAAACCGCAAACCTTCATTCTAAAAATAAGTCCATTTTAATTTTTTCAGAAAACTTCATTACATTTTAGTGTGTGCGTGCATGCATGTGTGTGTCTCTGTGTGTGTTCATTTGTGTGCATACACATGTGTAGAGGTCAAAGGGCAATGGGCAGAGGTCAGTTTTGTTCTTCCCCCAAGCGGGTCTCAGGGATCAAACTCAGGTGGTCAGACATGACAGCAAGTGCCTTTACCCACTGAGCCATCCTGCCAGGTTCTGAACAAAATTCTGTTATGAAGCGGAACAGGTAACCCAGGAGACAACATCCGACTCAGCTCCCCGACATCCCAACCCAGTTCCTGGATAAACGAAAAACGTGATTCTTAGGGTCATCCAGCTAACGTCCTCATAGGTGCCTTTAAACTGCCTGTGGGAGACATGCGTAAGCCAGGCTCCCTTCCTTGCCAGACTCTTCTGTTGTGCAATTATCTCAGCGTCCATTTTGTCACTGTGCTGGTTTGGATGAAAAGGCCCCCATAGGCCCACAGGAAGTGGCACTGTGAGGAGGTGTGGCCTTGTGGGAGGAGGTGTGGCCTTGTGGGGGGAGGTGTGGCCTTGTGGGAGGAGGTGTGGCCTTGTGTGAGGAGGCGTGGCCTTGTGGGGGAGGTGTGGCCTTGTGAGAGGAGGTGTGGCCTTGTGGGGGGAGGTGTGGCCTTGTGGGAGGAGGTGTGGCCTTGTGAGAGGAGGCGTGGCCTTGTGGGAGGAGGTGTGTCCCCGTGTGTGGGCTTTCACGCCCACTCTCTTTCCTGCTGCCTGAGTTCCCGGTGTAGAACTCTCAGCTCCTTCTCCAGCACCATGTCTGCCATGATGACAATGGACTGTAAGCCTCTGAACTGTAAGCCACCCCAACTAAATGTTTTCCTAGTAAGAGTTGTCACGGCAATGAAACCCTAATTAAGACAGTCACTGTGGTTCTGTGTGACTTTAAGGTGTCTGGTACCCTGCATGGCTTCTTGGAGATTCAAGGGAAGACAGACCCTGTTGCCATGGACACCAATGCACGTCAGGCAGAAAGATTATCATCAACAACAAACACCACCAGAGCGAAGCAGGCATGGGTGCAGCCAGATGGAAACGGGGTGACTGCAGCCGGCCTTGGTCCCTCGGCGATGGTCCTCACTGGGGTGAGAGCCCAGACTCCAGTTCTCCTTACAACACTCAGCACCTGTTCTGCTTCCTGAAGAGAAATTTGGGAGAAAAAAAGACAATCTGCATATATACTTCCAAAAACTCAGAGGCCTAGAAGGGCATTACAAATGCTTCATATGACAGCATTGTGCTGGATACCTGCCATCACCCCTTTGTCCAAACCTGCAGATTGTGCACCGAGAGTGGCCATAATGTGAACCCCGGACTCTGGTGGAGACTGCTATGTGAATGTAAGTTCACCGCTGCATCGGCAGCAAGGGTACCACTCTAGTGGGAATGTTGGCAGCAGGGATATTTATATTCGAGGTGGGCAGAAGTACAAGAGAGATTTCTTTTCCTTCTTCTTAATTTTTCTATGAACCTAAAACAATTGCTTCTTGATAGAAATTCCTTGTTTGAGATTCAAGTAGCATACTCTAACAGTAGGCCATTTATTAGTGCAAACCTTCCAACATCTTCACCTGTTCATAACATCATACTACATGTTCTTGAACCAAATTCAAATAAAACCACAACTAATACCCACCCAAAGCCTATCCACGAGGTTCACCAAATGTGCCCAGTGTGGACAATATGAACAAACAGTGAATACCATAACCCAACATGGAGTCCTTTAGGGTCTTGTACCTCAGAGTCACTCTAGTGTTTCATGATTACTCCACATATGTTTGTAAACATTGTGAGTTGGGAGACATGAGAAAATGAGGCCACGGGCAGAGCTGTGAGTATAATTATTCACTCCCTAATGGCATCCCATGCTCCCCAGTACTAATCCCTTACACTTAAAAACGTTCCCACCAACTCCACTTGGTGTCCTACATTCAAACTATAAATGGACACTCCTTCAGACTCATTCCTCACAACTCCTTTCAGAATAGGTCATTTGAACAGAAAGTCTTCCAACGGGTTCAAAGGGAACCGTCAACCTTCCAAAGCAGCTGGAGTTCTGTCACAGAGTTAGATACTGGGACTTGTGGGGGCCATTCTGGATACGCTGCACCCCTCAGATTAGCAGAGAGATTCCTTTGCATCCAGTGTGACATCTTGCCTGCATATCTCAGGCAGAACAGCATCTCTCAGGGAAGAGCTGTTTTTGCCCTGGAGGCATGTTAGGAGCAGGCTGGTCCTGCTGTCAGCTTGTCCAGGACTGTGAATCCATGGTGTAGGTCTTTTGCAGAGGTCAGCTCACCCGGCCACACAGGTCTCCAGTGCTAGAAAAAGTGTCCCTCTGTCTTCCAGCTTCTTCTTCCAGATCTACTGACTCCTCCAGCGACACACTTAAAGCAGGAAGCTGGAGGTAGTTTGTCTATCCGATAGTTCCCCTTTGTTAAATGGTAGCGTGATTACAGAGGAAAGGATAAATGTGTATCTACTAGAATGTATTTTTCATACTAAGTGCTCAATTAACTAACATACAATTTTGGATTTTGATTGATTACCTTTTCAGTTAAAATTTTACATCCCTGAGCATGCAATTATACATAAATATAAAGAACTATAATTCAATGGCAAGATGATCAATACCTAATTCCCCATTTTTTCCCCTTTCTACTGCTAACATCAGGGATTTCTTTGTGAACCTTATCTACACAAAGCTACTTTGCTTTGTGAAGGAAAAAACAAACCTGATTTCCTCTTTTCATTTTCTAGAACTTGCTCCCTCAACTCATGGCTATTAGGAACAGCAAAGATGACCAGAGATTTCAGGTTCTGTGTCTTCATTTTCTTCCTCAGAGAAAGTGTTCAGCTCAGATCCACAGTCCAAACATTGTCCTGATTTTAAAATGCCATGATCTATTTGAAAAGATACTTCAAGCCCTAACAAAACACATTAGAAAGAAGTGAATATTCACACGCAAAAATACAGTTGGTCTCTTTATTTAAACCATATAGAATTAACTCAAAATGATTCATGGATATAGACATGAGCTAAAAGTATAAAATTACTAGAAAAAGACAGAGGGGATGATTTATGACATTAGATTTGGAAATGATTTCTTATGTGACTTCAAAAGCAAGACAAAAAAGTAAGGTTAAATAAATTGGACTACATTAAAAATTAAATCTTTGGTGTATCAAAGGACACAATAAACAGGCATCCCAGGGATGGCAGAAAATATTTGAAAACTGTGTCTCTGACAAGGGATTAATATGCAGCCTCTAAATCAACAGCCAGAGCCAAGCAACCTGACTCACAACTAGGCAAGACAGTTGGAAGATATGTGTCCCAGGAAACCTGTGAAAACTGTCAACAAGCCAGTGCATTGTTATTCAACATCGTAATCATTAGGGAGATGTAAATCACTGGCACAATGAGGTCCCCTCTCGCGCGCACACACAGTAGAATCGCTGTTGCTGAAGAAGCCTCAAGCCCTGGCAGGGATGCAGAGAGACTGGACCCGCGTGCCTCGCTGTAGGAGATAAGAAGAGAACACAGCCGCTGTGCACAGTGGCATGGCAGCCTCCCCGGGGGGTTGAAAATAGAACGCTCATACGATCCAGCCACTCCACTCCGGAGTAGAGAGCCAGGACTGGAAGCAAAGAGTCAAAAAGCAGTTGTTCCTCCATGTTCGTGCTATCTAAACCTGTAATTAGGAAGAGAGGGAGGGAGGGGACGGAGGAGGGAGGGGAGGGAGGAAGGAGGGAGGAAGAGAGGGGAGGAGGGGGAGGGGAGGGAGGGGGAGGGGAGGGAGGAGAGGAGAGGAGAAAAAGAGGAGAAGAGGGAGGGAGGAGGGGGAGGAAGAAAATATGATATCCATACATAATGGAATTCAGCCTTAAAAAGAAAGAAATCTGGTATGTGCCTAGTCCGAGTGCAGTAAGCAGTCACAAGAGGAAAACAGTGTGGTTCTGTTTACATGAGCTACCCAGATTAGTCAAATTCCTAGAGATAGAAAGTGGAACAGCAGTTGCCTGAGGCGAGAGAGGGTTTAATGGACATGGGGTTTCAGCTTTGCAAGATTAAAACAAAGTGCCAGGTATCTACAGCAGTGTAAATATACTTGTTACTGAGCTGCACACTTAAAAATGGGTAAAACGGCAAATGTCATGATATTTAATTGCAATAAAACAAAGCAAAACTCAATAGTCTGTGCCCTGTGGCACTTACCACAGTGACACGCCACTTCGTTCTACACTGTTGGCATCTGAGGTTGGCTTGAAACAGGACAAGTGCCAGCTGAGAGCCAGAGAGGTCACCGGAGGAGTGGAGATTCTGGAGCCCCTGAGGTCTCTTCAGTGACCCACCATGCCGGAAATACAATCACTGCACCATCAGGAATTCAGTCAGGAGCTCTCATGCTTCATAAAAGATGCTGGTGCTGTGTGTGCAAATGAGGTAAGAGTCATAAACTGTTGTAAATATTATTTTAAGGTGTGTTACTTTTGTTTATGTTGCATTTGTTTAACTCTGTAAGCTGTGTTACTGTGCCTGTCTAAAACACCTGATGGTCTAATAAAGAACTGAACAGCCAATAGCAAAACAGGAGAAAGGATAGGTGGGGCTGGTAGGCAGAGGGAAGATATAGAAGAAGAAATCCAGGGAAACAATGAAGTAGTCAGAGAAGGAGAAGGAGGACTCCAGGGGCCAGCACCCAAGCAAGCCACAGAGTAAGAAACAAAGAAAGGTATACAGGAATCGAAAAGAAAAAGCTCAGAGGCAAAATGTAGATGGTATAATTTAAAGTTAAGAAAAACTGGCAAGAAACAAGCCAATTTAAGGCCGGGCATTTATAACTAAGAATAAGCCTCCATATATGACTTATTTGGGAGCTGGGTAGTGGGCCCCCCAAAGAGCAAAGAGCAAAAACCAACAACAGTAAACCGCTGGTGCTGTGTGTGCAAATGTGGTAAGAGTCATAAGCCGCTGGTGCTGTGTGTGTGCAAATGTGGTAAGAGTCATAAACCGCTGGTGCTGTGTGTGTGTGTAAATGTGGTAAGAGTCATAAACCACTGGTTCTGTGTGTGTGCAAATGTGGTAAGAGTCATAAACCACTGGTGCTGTGTGTGTGTAAATGGGGTAAGCGTCATAATCCGCTGGTGCTGTGTGTGTAAATGGGGTAAGAGTCATAAACTGCAGGCATCCTTTACCAATGAGAAGATTTTAAGTAAAGAAAAAATACTGCCTTTCATATTGTTAAGCCATTTCTGTAAACATAATCTGATCACTAAAAAGAAACTGATTTATTTAGCTGAGCCAAATCTCTATTAAAGATAGGCCTTTGTCACAGTAAATACTAAGCAGTTTCCAGAAGCCAATCTTTAAAAGCTTGCTTTGCACAACTGTTGAAGTCTGTCGTTCCACGGATTTATTTTGGGCATTGGGTCCTGGAGCTCTGCTAATAACAGGCAGCTAAGGTAATTCCAGCTTAACTTGGCCAACGTTCGAATGGCAGTAAAAATACATGTCCCATAAATCATGACGACACTGAGGACGAAGCTTGCTCCGTAGAGCCACAGAGGCCTGGCAGGCACGGTCCCCATGTCCCCTAATGGTCCTTTGCTGGAAGTCATTTCTGTTATTCAGAAAAATGAGAGGAGTTTTTTGGAAACAAATTCTGTTGCAGTTAATATCCACACGACAGAGTGTGTTTGTGCAATTCCAGAAGCCAAGATTCAAATTCGCTGAAAAGGTATTTTATACTGTGATTTTGTTTCACCAATAAATCAACTTTAACATATATTATTTTGTATTTATGGAGTGCCTCAGAAGAATCTTCAATATGTTACAGACCTTCTGCCACTGACCTCCGCAGCAGCCCTGTGACGCTCACTGGAGAACCTCTGAACCCCTGCCAGGCACCTGGGAAGAGAAGAGTTGATGAAAATTATCTCTAGAGAAACTGTCAGAGGAGCTGCTTTTTCTGTGGTTGAGTGTGGATTTAGCATGTTTTGTGAGGTCTTGAGTTGAGTCCCTGTAGATGAATTTTTAAACAGTCTTATTAAACAAGAAACATAGAACCAAATACAGGGGTGTGAGCCGTAGAGATCAGTGTAGCAGGAATCTTAAAAGTTCTTATTAATAAAAATCAAACCTGAGGCCAGTTATTGGGGTGAATGCTGGAATATCAGAGAAGCAGAACAAGCCACACCTACCTCACCTCGCCAGTTCCTCAGCTTATCCTGCTTCCTCAGACTGGAAGCCTCTGAGTCCTCATCCTGAATGAATCTCAGCTGAACTGTTGCTCAAAAGCCTGAAGCTTAACCAGCCAAATGCTTCTAGTTTCTGGTCCTCGCACCTTACATACCTTTCTGCTTTCTGCCATCACTCCCTGGGATTAAAGGCTCGCTTTCTGGGATTCAAGGTGTGAGTCACCATGCTTGACTGTTTCCAATGTGGCCTTGAACTCACAGAGATCCAGAGGGATTTCTGCCTCTGGAATGCTAGGATTAAAGGCGTGTGCTACCACTGCCTATCCTCTATGTTTAATATTGTGGCTGCTCTGTCTCTGACCCCAGATAAGTTTATTAGCGTGCACAATATTTCGGAAAACACAATACCACCACAGATCAGAGTACCATAATATATATTATATATATATAGTGTTCACGTAAAACCCAGTAGCTACCAGCATAAAACAGCCAAAAGATTCCATAGTTTCAGAGCACTCTATACAGACTGCTGGGGGACATCGACGGTCTCATCCAGCTGTGACCTCTACAAGCTACAATGCCAACCTCCAGGCAAAGTGTGCCCTCAGCTATGATGCTGGCATGAAGTTATGGGGTCACCCACCACTCTATGGCAGGATTTGAGGCCCACACCGCTGGAGGGAACTCATACCTGGCACTGGAAACCCAGGCAGAAGTCCCTGGCTGGGTAAGGCCTAGGTCACAGGAAGAATCCACTATGGTGTTGCTAAATGATCAGAATGTCAATCTACCTCCTAAATATTTGTTTATACCCATGGGTAAGTACTATTCTGAGCCTAGGTCAGGACTTCTGCTTTGCAATGGGTTATGGCTAATTTAGAGACTCATAACTGGTCAAAATGCTAAGAACAGGTGACCCTTGGGTGTCCAACCCTAAACAGGGCATCTACAACGTTCTCTCCAAGGCTCAAGGGAACATTTCAAAAGAGGAGGCAAGAAAGACTAGCAGAGACAATATAAGAATGTAATGATGGTAAGGGCTCTGTGAAATGTGTCTTTTGCACATGACATGGATGTTACTCCCACAAAATCACAACAACAGTGGCTACCCACACAAGATGGAGTCCATCAACATCCATCAGGAATGGGGGAGACATTGATGAGTTGAAGCCATGAAGACATGCCTGAGTTGAAGCCAACCTGGGCTACAGGGGTAAAACTGTCTTTTTTAAGCATTGTTTAAAATTAATTGGTATTTTAAAACACTTTGCTGTGTAGAAACTACTATTTTTGTATTTTTATCACTCCAAGCCCATTACTTTCTCAGTGGTTATTTTTAGTGGGGCTACAAAGAAAAGTAAGACAATTTAAAACTAAGAGAGTTAAAGAAAGACATGAAGACCTCTATGCTTATGATCTTTCTTACCATTTCCAAATTGTTCATTCTATGGGAGCAAGGGATAAAGCCAAGGTCTGGAGATGTAGCTCAGTAGTAGACTGCTTGCCTAGCACACATGATACCTTGGGACTGGTCCCTAGCACATACACGTGCATACATACATACATGCACACGTACATACACACATGCATGCACATGCATGATCAGCATACATACACATGTCCATGTGCACACTCATGCATGCTCAGCATACATACATGAGCACTACACATACAACACACACACACACACACACACACACACACACACACAAACATACACACACATACTGGACCAAAATTCAGAATCAATAGAACTGCCATTATAGCCATAATGAACTTCACTAATTCAATCAAATGGTTGTATACTTATAGTTAGAATTGTTGTAAAATAGCAATAATTGTTTTATGACTACTTATTGCTGTAATGTTTTAAAAATCATAATCTCACTGGGCTGAAGGTTTTAATTATTTACTATTGTAGTCCACAGGAGAGCGGGGTCCAAAATGAGGTGGACTAAAGTCTCATGCAATAACCAGCTTTATTCAGAGCACCATACAGTTTATACTCTGAGGGTTAAGAAGAATCACATGAGTAAGGTATTCAGTCACAAGGACAGGCCACATGTGGTAAAAACCTGTTTCTCCATAGAGACACATGACTAACAGCAGCTGAAGTCAACTCACTCCATCCACCACACCTGGGAGGGGCACAGAAACACATTCCAAGAACAAGTCTGTGTTTTGAAGGGACTGAGGTCACAAGACTCTTGTTTCTTTAGAGTATTCTCCCAAGCACTCAGAATTCTTGCATGACTCCATTCTTGGACTGTTCCAACAATTCACAGTTTGAGCAGATTCCCTGGTTTGCTTAGATCATGAAATAATCACCATCTGCATTTGATCAAAGAAGGAAAAACACGGATGAAGAAGAAATGTTTTCTCTTCTGTCCTTGAAAGTATTTAGTTTACAAAGAAAAACATGTCCTTGCAGTAAAAAATAAATAAGTAAATAATTCTAGCGCATTTCTTTATTTCTTTATCTACATGCTTATCTTCTGGAAAGAAGAGAACTCAATGGTATTATGAAAAAATAATTTCAAAAGCATGTGGGATTAGAATTGTCAGTATCAAAGGACTCTGTAAGACCCTAAGTATTCTTCAGGTTTCAGTGTGTCCTTAACCACGTCTACAGGAAGTCACTGAGGCAAGAATTTTAATGGTAGCCAATACTGAAAGCTAACTGTATTTTGATAAGGCAATGATCAGCCCATTCTTCTGAGAGCCTGAAGGTTACCATCCCAATAAGGACAGTGTGACAATTTCAGTCACTGAAAGAGGCTAGGGGTAGCAGGGAAGGACTGACTGAGAGAGCTTCTTTAAGCCCTGATTGGCTCTTGTCCCACATCTCCTGTGGTTTCCTGGAAGCACTGGCCTGGAGCAGCCGCCTTGGAGCTGTGCCCTGGAGCAGTGCCCTAGAACAGCCTTGGCTTGCCATGACCAGGCCAGCAGCCAGCTGGGTTAGCTTCCCAGAGTCACTCTAGGCTCCAGAGACCCAGAAGCACCTCTACACCCTCAGAAGCATCTGGGAGGCTTGCTAAGGTGGGCCACTAAGGCTGGAGTAAAATTAATGCTGTGGCTAAGAGCTGCTTTATGGACCACGTAAACCGGGGGCCAGGGTGGGGGGGGGACATGACACTAAGAAGGACCTTCTGATGAACAGACCTTGTGATAAATGAAACCAGTGCCGGGGGGGGGGGGTGAAGGACAAGGCCTGGCCCCTCACGGTATCTAGTGGCCCTTCTCCCTACTCCTACTTCCCTACTTACAGAGGAGAATCTTTTCTTTCCTTTTCTTGAAACAGAGTCTCACCCATTCAAAGCTGGCTTCAAACTCACTAGGGAGCCAAAGATGACTTGGAATTCCTGATCCCATCATAGGCATGGGCCACCAAGCCTGGTTTATGCAGTGTTGGGTACTAGGCAGACACTCTAACAACTGCCCCACACTGCAGCACTGCACTAATTACTTGTCATCACTGTGACCATCACTGCCC